CGAACTTCATGGCCGTGCGAACCCGTGGAGCTACGAAGCCGGAAGCGCTCGTCACTCTCCCAGAAACTCGGACGTCATGAAACACATGTGGCAGTCATGAGAGACACGGGTATGTGTGCTTAGGTGCACAAGAAACGGCTAGGCACGAACACGAGGTGCGCGGGTCTGGTTAAAATGGGAAAAGGAAAAAGTCAGCCGTCGCCGGCGGTCGGCTTGGGGGAGACTCGTCAGAGGCACGCAACGCCAGAAACAAACAATTATGAGGCTCTAAGCGATGCGGATGATGCTCGTCTGCGGGGCGTATGTAACTGGAGGCGCGGGCGCAGCAGATGTGTGTGACCAGCGCGGTCCGCGTGAGCAGGTGGGTGGAGGAGCCACAGCAGGCGGGCAGGTAGGTACCCGTGTCGCGGTGTGGTATGTAGCAGGGCAGGCGTTGGAGGGGGGTCCCCTCGGCAGCAGGTCACCGTTCGCAGGAGCGTGAGCTCGTGACGTCGACCTCGGAGTGACTGGGGTCGCCACCAAGGCGGAGAGGGAAATTCACCGGCTGGTGAGTCACAGGGCACACAATTCGGAGTTCATTATCGTCCTGAGCTTTCCTCCCCGCCGCCCCAGATATGTAGCAGCCCCAGAGCTGTGTGCGGTCGGAGAACCGTCCAAGGGGGCGGTGGGCGATCGACCAGGCGTCCAGGCCCGTGTACCCGGCGCAGCGGTCGTGCCCGCGGCGAGCAGCGAGCGACTTCGGACGCCGTCTGCCGCCCCCATCAGGTGCTCTGCAAACCGTCAATACTCCACCAACACAGCATGTACTTACATACATGCGCACACGCACATAGTGCAACTGCGGTACATGCACCGCGCCTCTGCCCCACCTCCGGCCCTGCCTTGCGTGCCTACTCATGTAGCCTCGCCCGGGGTTCCGATCCGTCCACCCTTAACTTGAATTCGCACCGCGCTTGCAATCAGCAATGCAAGCATCGCGAGTGGATCCCCGAGTGTCGGGAGCAAAGATAAGGACTGTCGGTTGGCGAACTTCTCGGAAGCACCAGAACGATGCCGGGCCGGAATGGATCCGCCTGCAGATGCAGGCCCCCGTCAGCCTGCTCCCCTAGGCCAGAAGCTGAAAGGGGAAAGTGGCTTGTGCAAAGTCGACCGTCTCAGTTTTGCTCCTCGGCATCGCCCTTTGCTCTTTTCTCCTTGCGCCATGGGCGCTCGCTAGTTGTGGCCTGAGGATAAGCTTAAATCCCACCGGTGCAATGCCTCGGCATCACTCTGAAGGGTTGGTCCAGTGAGCGCCGCCGAGAGAAGGAACCCACGAGGAGTGTATTTACGTAGTATGCGCAACCCAGCGTATGTATATTATTCCAGGCGCCGAATTCTGTGATTGCGGATAAGCAAGCGTGGCATATCGACTAGGGACAGAGGTCCATATCCATGCGTACTGCTTCGTCTACTATATCACAGCACTTCTTAGACGAAATGAATGGTCTAGACCACACCATTCTAGCTGAGGCCTCTTTGATGACCAACTGACGAAACGAGTCAACATCTTGCAGCCCGCTTACTTTTTTTTTTTTTTTCAACTGTTGCTAGGCCCTTGGAAGATCTATGAACCGAAGATGAACCCAGAGTGCTCGTATTGACTAAAATATATACATCTACCGCCCCATACACCAACACTTTACTCCCTAGGCTTCGCGACCGGTTGCCAGGGGAAGTACTTATTCCTCGTCCTAGATACCGGCAGCTTGGCTTAGCGATCCTGTCCTGCAGAGATAGGTAGACCTTGACACTTACGTGCTGTACGGCTTGTATGCGGAACGGCTCAGCGTCAGCAGCGGACGGTGCTCCTTCGGCTCCCATTCCCGAAGTTGGGTGCGCAAGATCTTGTCCTGAGTGGGAGGCTTGTCCACGGCGTACGACATCCAGAGATGCCTGTTCAAAGAGTTGAGCACAAATACAAACGCCTACGGACATGAGGTTGCGCCTTACCAGCCGGGCTCTATCTGGGATCTTCGTAGGAAGTTTTGTCAGCTGGACGCTACAGGTCTCGTCTGCAAACTCGAATGAGCCTTACGCGTCGAATTCCTTGTTCACATAGTCCACCCAACGCGTCCGCACTGCAGCATCACCCAGTCAGTTCAGCCCTCCGACCAGTCGAAATCGGTGGACGGACATGGCAGTTCCTCCTCTATGTTCTCATAGTACTTGTTCCCGAATCGATCGGTTCCAATGAGCGTGCCCGCCTTCGTGTCACCTGCATTCGTTGTTACTACGCCTTCCCTCGGGGGGTGATAGTTGTGTCGAAATTACCGATATACTACAGTCGCCAAGCAGAATTCGCGTGAGCAATTGGCACCGGCATAGCTGGGGCGAGAGATCCCACATACCATCATTTGGTGCGCATATTCCTACATCGAGCGCGTTAGCTACTACGTACGACACGGCACGGTCCGAGGAACACGAGAGTTGCTGACCTTGAGGCCGATGCGGCGGAGATTCCGCAGCGTTCGTGGCAATGTCGACATGGTGGCGGCGTTAATCCGACGGCGAGCACCACGGCGGCAGATTGAGCGCAGACGGCGGCTGAGAGAGCGCGTGTCGTTGCGGAGGTGACGATGAAGAGGGTGGTTCAAGGTTGCAAGAGCAAGGCACTGGGAACGCGGGATGCCGAGCGGATGGCGGACAGGCAGACTAGCGCTTAGCGCTAGTAACGCCCGCGATTAGCGCAAACCCCCCTGTCCAGAAATTGAAACTTGCTGCCCAGAGTCATCCCGTTGCACCTTCTTCTTTGCAGATAGTCATTTCTCATCTCGAGATGCCACTAGCCCGCTTATGATGATTGTGAGAGGTGCGATAAAATGGTCTATACCTAGGAACCCTAGGTTCAGAACTCCTCGCCGAGTAGTTCCCCGAAGCGGTCGAAGTTACGGCACCTCCGGCTCTTCAGCAACACCTCAGGGAGCACAGCTGTCGGCTTCATCCATGTTGGGTGGATTGACCATTGAGCTGGACAAGCTCTCTCCGCGGTTTGAGCTCCAAGCGTCCCAAATCAACATAATACAAGCTCCCGCCGAGTTTTACTCCACCCTAAAGGTATAAAGTCACGTGCGTACTATCCGGGTTCAGTTCTCCAGAGCATATCTTTTGAATTTTCTCTTAGGATTAGTGCCTTCTGCCGGACTTACCTTGCAACAATGCTTCCAAACTAATGAAGGCAACAGGATAAAATATCAAATGCTCAGCGTCGAATATATCTATCTACTCTTTATATTGGCAAAAAGGAACACGAGCTGGTAAAGTGATACGTTTTCATTTATCTTGAGCGGTAGTGTTAACCATTCAAAAGATCAGTGTAATTCGAAACGCTCTCAAGAACAACCCAGACCTCGAGGTCTCATTTCTCACAGATGCCTTGAGAGGGACTCGTGAAGCGCCAGATCCGTCATGCGCTTCCCTGCTTGCTCCGCTGGTTGAGGAGTTCGGGTCTCAGCGGGTTCAAATTCGAATGTTCCACACGCCGAACTTGACTGGGTTGCGGAAGAAGTTGATCCCACGTAGAATCAACGAGGGATGGGGCCTCCAGCACATGAAGCTGTACGGGATAGACGACGAAATCATTATGTCTGGGTATGCATTCGAATTTACCTCCCATCCTTATCTTTTATTCACTCCTACTAATCGTCTAAAAGAGCCAACCTATCGCAAGACTACTTCACAAATCGGCAAGATCGATATCACGTCTTTTCGTCCAAGGAAGTTACGGAGTACTATGCCCGCATCTTTGATACCGTGAGCAGCATCAGCTACAACATTCTACCAACAAGAGACAATCCAGCTGGATACCTAATGGAATGGCCAGCATCAAATCCAGGCCCATCCCCTCTTTCCAACCCCAAAGAGTTTGTTTCGACAACAACCCAACTTCTCGCTCCTTACACCAGGAGTCCACAGCCGCCACCAACCCCCGTGTCACACGGCAATGGCACTCTGCTCTACCCACTCTTCCAATTCACTCCCATCCTAAAACCAGACACTTCGACCGAGCTCCCCGCCATGCGCACCATCCTACGCACGCTCGCCTCGCCCGCTTTCGCCGACTGCCGCTGGTCCTTCACGGCCGGCTACTTCAACATGACGCCCGAGGTGCGCTCGCTGCTGTTGGCGACGCGGCCGGCGGGCGCCACCGTCGTCGCCGCCTCGCCCTGGGCCAACGGCTTCTACGGCAGCAAGGGCGTCTCCGGCCTGCTGCCCGACGCGTACACGCTGCTGTCGCGCCGCTTCCTGGATGCCGTGTCGCGCAGGGGCATGGGCGGGCGGATCGCGCTCAAGGAGTGGCGCCGCGGCACCGTCAACGAGCCCGGCGGCTGGAGCTACCATGCTAAGGGGTTGTGGGTCACGCTGCCCGGGGAGCGCCACCCGAGCGTGTCGCTCGTGGGGAGCTCGAATTACACCAAGAGGAGCTACTCGTTGGATTTGGAGGCGAATGCGCTGATCGTGACGGGGGACGAGGAGTTGAAGAAGAAGCTGGCGGATGAGGAGAGGTGGTTGCAGGAGTACGCGACAAAGATGGATCGCGATGATTATGCGAAGGTGGAGCGGAGGGTAGGGATTCACGTGCGTATTGCGATGGCTGTCGTGAGGTTGGTAGGAGGCGCGTTGTGAGAGTGTAATGCTGCTGTGCCTAATGGATAGTGTATAATATTTTGGGTATGATTAGGTATATTGAGAGAAGAAGATGAGAGCAATAGAGGGTACGCCGTATGAGGCTCGCATTTACGATTTCCGAAATCTGGCAAGGAGAAGAGAATCTCTGTGACGTGCCTGCCCTATTTCTCACTTTGGTCTCCTCGGGCATTTATTCGTCAACAGTAGCTTCGGGGGATTAAGCGTGTAAGATGTTTTTTTGTGTTAGTGTAAAATATTGTGTATATATATTATTTAGTTCTAAAATTTGTTCCAACCCCGCCTCAGATGCAAACATCTGGGTCGCCGCAATTGCGGTCTCCGTGGTGTAGTCGGTTATCACGTCGGTCTCATAACATTCGTTGTGACTAGCCTGCAAACAGGCTGGAGAGATCCGAAGGCCGCGAGTTCGATTCTCGCCGGGGACATCCCTCTTTTTGCATTTTCTAATGCAATATCTTTCTCCTTTTTACCAACTCGCCACTATGAGTTGTCTGTCTTGTATGGCTACCGCATAGACCCGCAGACTACTTGCAAGACTGACGGTGGCTCGACCGGAGGACGGCCAGAGGAAGGCCAGGCTCGGCACGGCCGCCACTTAGCTGCCCAGACGGTCCACCCCGAAAATAAAATTTCCCTCTGCCACTCCACGCCCGGCCGTATTTTCCCAACCCACGCCCGCCTGCTATATACGCTTGCTCTAATCCGGGGCTTTCTGCACGTATAAGCCGCCTGTCGCTTGCTTGCCAGGCCCCTCGGGAATTTTTTCTGCTCGTGATCTGGGACAGAACGTCTCGGTCTACACATCTCGAGGCCTTTCTTTCTTTGGCCCTGACGTCGTGGGCTTTGACGCCTCACCGCTATCGATACGAGCACAAGCCATCAGCCTAGCCTATTGCCTAGCACCCCACCATACAGCTGTTCCCTGCCCCTCCCTTTCAGCGCCGCCTTCGAACTTTTCACTGCCACACGCAGACAAGCAGGCATCCATCATGGTCTCCGCATCGAAAGCCGCCCGCCAGGCCAAGCGCGCCGCCGAGGGCAAGGAGCCCAAGAAGACAGCCGCCTCCAAGGTCTCCTCCCGAGCCGCCTCCAAGAACGCGTCCAAGACGCCGTCTGAGGCCGGCGACGTGGACGAGGCCGGCAACCAGCTGCCGGACGCCGAGGTCGATGAGAAGATGAAGAAGTTGGCGATGCAAGAGGACAACCAAGGGCTGTCGGACCGCGTGACGACGGGCGTGTTGGCGTCGCTCGAGTCCAGCCGCGACGTCAAGATCACGTCGGCCTCTCTCGTCTTCCACGGCAAGGTGCTCTTCAACGACACCACGCTGGAGGTCAACTACGGCCGCCGCTACGGCTTGCTCGGCGAAAACGGCTGTGGCAAGTCCACCCTGCTCAAAGCCATCGACAAGCGCGAGTTCCCTTTCCCGGAGCACATCGACATCTACCTATTGAACGAGGGCGCCCCCAAGACGGACCTTGGCGCCCTCGAGTGGGTTGTCACGGAGGCCGAGAACGAGATGGCTCGGCTGGAGAAACTAGCCGAGGACATCCTCGAGCGAGATGGCCCGGACAGCCCCGTTCTCGAGGATCTCTACGAGGTAGGATTCCCTTCTGAAAGAGTTACCATTCCTTGAAAGTTTGTCTACTAACATCTCTTGCAGCGCGTGGAAAGCATGGATCCTCAAACTTTCCACACCCGTGCCTCGCTAATTCTTACCGGTCTCGGTTTCAACAAGAAAACGATCAACAAGAAGACCAAGGACATGTCTGGTGGATGGAGAATGAGAGTTGCGCTTGGCAAGGCCCTCTTCGTCAAGCCAGCCCTGCTTCTCCTGGACGACCCGACTGCCCATCTTGACCTCGAGGCGTGCGTGTGGCTTGAAGAATACTTGAAGAAGTGGGATAGGACTCTCCTGCTCGTCTCACACAGCATGGACTTCCTTAACGGTGTCTGCACGAATATGATCGACATGCGTCAGAAACAGCTCATCTACTATGGTGGCAACTACGATTCGTACATCAAGACGCGCACCGAGCAGGAGACCAACCAAATGAAGGCGTACGAGAAGCAGCAGGAAGAGATCAAGCACATCAAGAAGTTCATTGCCTCGGCCGGTACATACGCCAACCTGGTGCGGCAGGCGAAGTCGCGGCAGAAGATCCTAGACAAGATGGAGGCCGACGGCTTCATTCAGCCAGTCGTCCAAGACCGCGTCTTCACATTCCGCTTCGCTGACGTGGAGAAGCTGCCGCCGCCTGTGCTCTCGCTCGACGACGTCACGTTCTCGTACAGCGGCAAGTCCGAGGACAACCTGTACGAACATCTCGACTTCGGCGTCGACATGGACTCGCGCACGGCACTCGTGGGACCCAACGGCGTGGGTAAATCGACGCTGTTACGCATCTTCATGGGCCACCTGTCGCCGACTGGCGGCGCGGTCAGCCGCCACACCCACCTCAAGCTTGGCATGTACTCGCAGCACTCGGCCGAGCAGCTCGACCTGACCAAGTCGGCCCTCGACTTCGTGCGCGACAAGTACTCGAGCAAGAGCCAGGACTACCAGTACTGGCGCCAGCAGCTGGGTCGCTACGGCCTCAGCGGCGACTCGCAGACGGCGCTCATGGGCACCCTGTCCGAGGGCCAGAAGAGCCGCATCATCTTCGCGTTACTGGCGATCGAGGGGCCAAACATGCTATTGCTAGATGAGCCGACCAACGGACTGGATATCCCCACAATTGACAGTTTGGCTGACGCCATCAACGCCTTCAACGGCGGTGTCGTGGTTGTGTCGCACGACTTCAGGTATGTTTTTTAAATGATGATTGGGTCATATATGGTAGTTACTAATGCGTTCAACTTCAGGCTCCTGGACAAGATCGCAAAGGATATCATGGTCTGCGAGAACAAGACGGTGCACCGCTGGGACGGCTCCATCGGCGATTACAAGGCGCACCTACGCAAGAAGATGATCACGGCTGGTGCAGTGTAAAGTGGCGCTCTTCCCCGAAGGAGGAAACGAAGGGACGAGGGGCTCTATGGAAGGATGAGTGGATGGGCCGTCCGTGCCGTTATCGTGAGGCTTTTGTTTGGGTGCCTACGTGGAGCCGCGCCTCGAATTGAAAGGAAGAAAATGGACAAGAACGATACCCGTGGCCCCTGACTCTTGTGGACATGGCCGTCTCTTGGAGGGATGGTGGAAAACTAGGAATAGACTGGCTTTGGAAAATGGTTTGCCCTGCATGGAATATGTGCTCGGCTGGCTTGTTGCTCTTTCATCGGATTTTTGTTGGTGTTCGCTCTCTTTCAGGAAGGAAGAGCTAGATGAACCCGATATGGAGGACTCTGAGTACCAGGTGCAGTCCAGGGCCTTAGTATTACGGCTTTATGGGACGATGGCATGTTTCATGGGTTTTCGGGTACATATTCGAGAGTCGGCAGCAAACTGGGGCATTGGAGCCTCCGGCATCCACCACCTTCTGTTCCACGACTGTTTCTGTGGGATTACTGGGTTATATCTTTGTTTTGCTTGCTTGCTTTCTCTAGAGGCGTCCTGCAAAGTAGACAAATCCCCTTTTCCTTTCCTAATCCTTTTTTACACGGGATGCCCTTACGACGTGATGTAGCCCTTCAATTTCCTGTACTGACTTGGATACTGGGATGCTTGCCTAGTTGCAAGTGATGTGAGATTACAAGCCAATTAGACCATTTAGTGATGTAAGGAGAAACCTTACACAATTCTCATTCTCTAGGTAGTGGATTTGAGTCCCTGTAGTTAACTAAACTAGGTCGACAAGGTGGAAGTAGTGGCATGGAATGAGTACATGATAGCCGCACAGCTTTTCGAATTTTGTCGATATAATTGCTGTTAGCCAACAACTCAGTAGTCCCATTACCAAGGAATCCTACAAAATCTAGTCAGCACTAGAATAACTCATCTGTAATCGACTTTTGGCATCTTCCTATTGTCAAGCTTTTCTGGTTGATGGTCCAAGAGCAACTTGTTCTCGAAGCTTTCCAAGACGGGCTAATATTGCTGAGGTCTGTAACGTGCACGAATGTCCTTGGCAAAGCTTCAATCACACGGAGCACAACCTACACGCTTAGAAATATGTTGACTCCAGCTAGTCTCCAGCCTGGGACGGGTCTCTTCGTATCTTTGTAGTATGATTATCTCTCCTGACTCAAGCTGAGTTGCGGGACCTCCACCTACCTGTATAGGCAGAGTTATATAATGAATCCGTATATTTTAGAAAGATTAAGAAGGTTCAGCCCGAATGTGTCTCCTTCAGTAAGAAAAAAGGTCGCTTACTCGAGTAGAGCATCTAGATCGAGTTATTTCTTGCGAGTAACAGCTAGCACAACATGACCTTTAGCGCAAAGTATTTTGGATATCTCACATTTCAAGCCGAAACACTACAAGCTCGCTGCCTCGCAAAGATACCCCGTCCATTGCGTCCATTAGTGGCACACTCTCCAACATCTCGCAGATGGATCCGCAAAGCATGTCGAACAAGCCAACTTCCGCAAATGGAAAACCTTCCGACTACTCGACTAGCTCACATACAAGTATCCACCGACGCCCAACAGTTGGATATTTCCGCTCTGAAGAACACTTCGACCACAATGGACGGATATATAATACGGTTGAGTTCCACTACTAGGTTCCTCGCAACGACGCGATCCGCGAATGCGCACAAGCAAGCACGCCGAAGCCCGTGCCATCTAGATAGCAATATGCTCAAGAAGCCAACACGCGACTCACACAAGACGGAAACGGCTGTAGGAAGAGAAATACAACAAAAGGCACACACATCCAACGCCGCCCATTGCAGAGGGAACCCGCCATACATATAACGAACACAGAGATCGCAAGAACAGCAAAAAGAAACAACCTCATCATACCGCCCCCGAACCCGACCCATGATGCCCTCCCCCTCCCCCTCCACCCCCGTTACCGCTACCACCCCCGCCGCCGCCGGCACCTCCTCCTCCCCCCCCTTTACTCGCGTCCAACAGCAACGTCGGCTTGATGAAGCCCTCGTCGATCTTCCTAAACGCCTGCGCCGGATCCTCTGACAAGCCCGAAATCAACTGGCCCATCGCGCCCGCCGCGGCCGTCATGCGTGCCACCGCCCCGTGATGTGCGCTGCTCCCCTCGCCCGCGTGCGCCACCGTCCCCGCCGCCGCCGCCGCCGTGGGCTCGGGCGTCCCCGCCGCCGACAAGAATGGGGACGGCGTGCGTCCCGCCACCGCGGCGGACGACTCGCCGCCCGCGGCGCCTTGCCCGCCGGCGCCGGACGCGCCCCACCCGCTAGGGGACGGGCGTCGCACCGCCGGCGGGAGATCGAGGTCACCGGCGTCGTCGAAGTCGTCGTCGGCGCTGCTACCGGACGAGAGCAGGCCCTGGTCGGCGCCGTCGCGGGC